AGACTTGACTTCTCCGTTTGAAACTTATGCTTGCCCATTAGTCCGAGAGTGGTACGAAGTGCTAATCTTGTGAGTGACATCGTACTTTTTCATCTTAAAATAGTAAAATATAGGGGAATTTAGCAATTTAAACACATCTATTTTAAGCATTATCATTAGTATATGAATGATTTTTTCTTTTGAACGGGGTAAATCTGTCACTACCCGACCCATGATTCACGAGCATCTCTATTACAAGGAACCCAAAGTATGTCAACTTAGAACTCATTTAATCCACATAACAACTCGAGAAAAAATAACATAAAATGGTTTATGAAGTCTGTTCAGCGTACATATAGGGCTTAAAAGAGATGATTTTAATCGTATTCTATGTCAAAATTTATGTCTCACCACTTAGGACAACAAAACAAGTTTATGTTGGGTATTACGACATTTTTTGCTTCCAAAGTCTTACAATTTGATAATTTTGGCCCCAAGGTATCAAATTTGTGTAATTTGAACTCCAAAGTATTAAGGATTAGGTAAATGTAATCCAAATTACCCAATCCTTGTTATTTCTAATGGTTAACTATCGGTTGATCGTTATTTATTTATTTTAATTAAACCGAGAGGAATTGAAAGGGGATAAGGTAAACGACATGATGACCGATGACATGTTGTTTGCCTTACCCTTTCAATTCCACTCCTAAAAAACTAGGTTTCAGCGAGAAAGATTAATTGAAAAAGAGAGAAAGAGAGAGATTGCAAGATTGATAATGATTTTGTAAGAGAGTTGCTAAAGTTCATGAGAGTCTCTTATTGGTTAGATTTCATTTAGGTTTTTGACTAATTAAAGTACATTGGGGGGTGTGAGAGTCTTTAAATATGTTTTTTATTGTCATGTTTTGCTTTTGGTTAGTGTTTTGTCAAAATCTAAGGTGCAATGTCAAATTCAGCCTTGTTATTACTCGTTGGAGGAAAGTTTGCTCAAAATCTTGACTTGAAGTACATTAGTGGCGTGTGTGAGATTAAATTGGTTAATACTAGTTTTTTTTTTCATTTCGTATTTGAAACAACTTATTAGAAGTTATGAGTGAATTGATCCTCAAAAGATAAATCGTGGTGTCTTGAGAAATTGTGATACATTAGAAACTCAATTGATATGTGTGTATAATGAGAGTCTTTATTTCCATATTTGGATTATTTTTTAAACAAGGAAATATAGATTTTTTTTTTATGAAGGATGCGATTAGGTTAGCGAAATATGAGAATAAATTGATTGATCTTGAGGATGGAAGTGATAATGTGGTCCAAGAATAGATTGTATGGATAAATATGGATGTTGATGGTAGGAATTGTGATGAAAATCATGGCATTAGGCTTATTGATGTTGTAATTTCTTGTAAAAATGAGAGTATTGATGCAACTAGCGAGGAAGGACAATTTAATAATATGGATGGTTGTTGTTGGGAACATAGGCACCATGACACCCAACACAGCGTCAAATATGTTTTTGGAAGTATTGAGGTAGGGCTTATGTCGGATGACGTTAAGAGGGAAAATGATGATAATGTTGAGGGTAAGCAATAGGGGTGCGCAATGAAGAAGGAGAAAATAGTGAGTTTGGTTCAAAATACAATGAGGATGATGAGGATGGTTATGATAGTAAGTTGGGGCTAGATGATGAGGCGGAATTACTTGATGTGTCATGGCTTAATATCAATGATGATAAAGACCTAATGGCTGCTAGGAATAAATTTACGAGTTGAATCAATCCCGGAGTAAAAAACATATTACAGTTGTTCTTAAAGCACCACCGATCAATGCTCAATAATCCAATAGCCAAAGATCTATAAGTAATGACATTAAAGAAAAGGTAATTACTCGTTGGTTTCTATGAGTTTGATTCGGATGAAGATGGAACTCTTGAATCAAGTAGTGATGATGACGATGAAACAGATAATGCAGGGAGGATAAAGTCCAAAATTATGTATTTTGATAACACTACCAAAGATCCTTAGTTTTCACTTGGCATGGCTTTTACAAACAAAAAAAATCGTTCAAGCTTTAGAAGATCGTTGTGTGGATAAAAGAAAAGAGATTGATTTTTTCAAGCACAACGGACAAAGAGTTAGAGCAAAGTCTAGTGATCGAAATGTGAATGGGTGTTCTATGCAAGATATAAAAGGCAAAAGAGTAACTTTAAACTTAGAACATATATAGATGAACATACCTATTGGGTTGCATTTAAGGATAAATGGATTAAGGCTAGGGTTGTAGCAAAGTACTTAATCAAAAACTTTGGGATTGTTGCTTTAAAAATGGATAAAAAAAGATATGAAAATATAAGCTAGAGAGAAATTATATTGTAACATAAGTCCCGACCAAGCTAGAAGAGCAAAGTAAATTATAAAGAGGAATTTTCATAATGATGATAGTGCTAAGTACTATAAGTTGCAAGATTACTTAGAAGAGTTGAAGATGAGTAACAAAGGATGCACTATTGAAAGTTGGTTTACTGGGCCTAGTAGTGGGGGTAATCCAATGTTCAAGGCTATGTACATTTGTTTTGATGAACTTAAAAAAAGGATTTATGATAGGATGCGGGCCTATTATTGGAATGGATGGATGTTTTTTGAAAAAAAGTATAAAGGTGAGATCTTAACTGTTATGGGAAAAGATGAGAATAATCAAATGTCTCATTTGGCTTGGACTATTATTGATGGTGAAAATTAGTACACTTGGGGATGATTTATTAAGCACTTAATGAGAGATTTGGATATAGGGTTTGGAAATGGCGACCAATGGACACCGATGCCGGACCAATAAAAAGTAAGATTTGTCTATCTACTAAGCTTTTTAATTCAATATTTTGATTTAGAATTTGAAGTTTGAAAATGTTAGTCACTAACATTTATTGACTAACATGTTTTTTCTTGGTAGGGTCTTGAGAAGGCAATCAAAGAGTTAATGTCTTATGTTAAGCACGAAATTATGTAAGGCATATATTTGCTAATTGGAGAAAGAAACATAAGGATAATGAGCTTCATGAAAAATTCTAGACATGTGCAAGGGCTACAAATCAATCTGATTTGAAGAAAGCATTTAAGGAGTTAATAGGGAAGCAAAGGATGATATGTTAAAAGTTGATATGACAAGCATGGAATAAAGCTTTTCTTTTTTCCAATCACACGAGTAAGTGTGATATTGTTAAAAATAACATGTGTGAAGTGTTTAATGACAACTTGCTTCGGGTTAGATACAAAGCAATCATTATAATGTTGGAGGATATTAGAGTGATGGTAATGACAAGAATGTTAGAAAGGAAGTAATTTGGTTAGGTTAGGTTTAAGGAAGATTATAGACCAAAACTCTAGTGCAAGATTGAAGAGCAAAGAGATTTAATTCATACTACTAAAATAATATGGAATGGAGATGGTGGTTATAAAGTCGATCAATTTGGAGATAGATATTTTATTAATGCGTCTCTTAGAAAGTATGGTTATAGACTATGGGATATCAATCGAATTTCTTATGTCCATGCCATATGTGTACTAAAAAGTATGAATAAGAAGCTAGAAGATTATTTATCCCATTGATACAAATAGGAGTTGTTTATGAAGTCTTACTAGTTTTCTTTGCAATTTGTTAATGGGAAGAAGTTCGAGAGAAAAAAAGGACTTGGCTTTGTTGACCCTCCACCACTAAGGAAGAAGGTTGGAAGGAGGAAGAATAAAAAGGTTGGAGATGAGTAGGAAGCTAAAAAATAGAGGGAGGAATTTATCAAGAAAAGAAAAAGTTATGAATTATTCCCAATGCTATATATATATATAAGTCAAATTCAATGACTTGTTCTAACAAGAAAACAAAAATTGTTAGTTTTTTTTTTTTTTTAATAATTCTAAACATATGGGTATTAAACATTAAGTGAAATAAATTTTATTTTATTTTTTTGTGTGTTCTTTTCATTTTAGGGATGGGTTAACATGTGTTTCAACTTTTATAGCACCAATCGATACAACAAGAAAAGAGGTAATTTTAGATGATCAACTACCAGGTGCAAGAGTTGATTGCAATACGGAAATCAAGAAAGATAACTATTTCCTCCATTCCTATCAATAGAGGACTTCCTAGATACATATATGGCTTATATGTGAATCTTGATACTAGATTTTCAATTTGGAATGTAAGTTTTTGTTGATGTTTGCAATTTGCATTTATTTTTAAAAATGTGAATTTTCTTGATTGTAACCAAGTTTTTGTTTAGTGTTTGCAACTTTTATAGCCAGTAATATGTATTTTACAAGTTATAACTCCAGGCACTTAATCTCTAGATGAACAAGAAACTCAACAACAAATTGAACCAAGGAGAAAGGGTAGAAATGCAAGCAATCCATCCGTCAAAATAAAAGGAAGACCGAAGAAGAATTAAAGGATGAATTGTTGGCATTTGAGAGCATTATGGAAAATGATTAATTTTTTTCTTGTTAATGGATCATTCTTCTATTTTGAACGAGTTAATTATATGTGATTGATCTATTAATTTGTATTTTAAAATGCTAATTATGTGTAATGAATGATGCTTGTTGCTTCTTTTTTATTGTTAATGGATTTGAAGCATTCGTATTTTGCTAATGAATTACCACTTTGATGCTTTTAGGAATTATGGATGCTTTATAGGAATTTTATTTGATTTTTAGTTGTTTGGATGATTTTTGAGAGCTAGTATGCTTTTATAGGAGTTTGGATGATTTTTTAGAGTTGGCATGCTTTCCGAGAGTTTGGATGCTTATTTAGAAATTTTGGATAATTGCTTGAAAGAATTGGTGATTTTTTCAAAATTGTTGATCTCTCCAGAATTGTTGATCAATTCTCCATAATTGATGATTTTTGTAGAATTGATGAACAATTCGAATAGAACACATGAATTTTTGCAAAATTGTTCATCGGTTATGTAAAAATGATGAATTTCTACATAATTAATAAACAATTATGCGAAATCCTTTAATTCCGCAAAATTGATGAACAATTCTAAGGTGAGAAAAGAGATAATGGATAGCAAAGAGAGAATTCAAACGATTGTCGATTCCGGGTTTTCTTTTCCTTTCTTTTTTTTGGTAGTGTTTGAATTTCTATGTTTACCGTTGAATTTCTTGGTTTGTTCTTGAAGTTCGGGTTTTGTTTTTGAATTTTTGGGTTTTAAAACCCGAAATTCATCCCCAAATCCGAAATTCAAGAACAAAACCTAGAACTTTAAGAACAAAACCCAAAAATTCATCCCCAAACCCGAACTTCAAGAACGAAACCCGTAAATCCATCCTCAAACCCAAAAATTCATCCCTAAGCCCAAAAATTCAAATATCGCTTAGAAAAAACTCAAAACTAAAAGTCATTTGAATTCTCTTATTTTCACTCTTTGTGATCCATTTCCCTTTTTCTCACTTGAGAATTGTTCAAATTGTTTTGCTCTTCCTCTTTAACATAACAATCAACATTCAACAAAAAAGCTCACACATTTATTTATAACACTTTATTTCCATAACAATCAATATTCTTCTTTAACATTCAATAAAAAAATCCATGCATTAACATATTAATTTTCATAAATGAACATTAAATTACAAGTTTTTTTTCATATAATGTTTAATACATTTAACATTCAACATTTAACCGATACATTTAACATTCAATTGATACATTTGTTGTCTAGCAACAACATTGCTATCCCATCAATTGCGGAAACTTACAAATAATCCTAATGAATAAGATACATTCCAAACATCTTATAAAATTATTACAACTCATCAAACAAACTTAGTCAACATTAACCTAATCTCAATAACATCTTATTTAACCATCAACAAGTAAACTAACATCACAATTATTGCAATCAAATAACCGACACGAGTGGTTAAACCTACAATTCTTCTTCTCTTTATCTTCATCACTCGCCGACAATCTTCTCTCTTAGAAGCAAATTATCTCTCAACGTACACTCATTCTCTCGCAACTAACCTCTTTTTTAGTATACTCGAAGTATTAATTACATTTCTTGCTCTTCTTCTAACCGTAGGATCTTGAAATTGAAAAATAATTGCATTTTGTACTCGCCATCTACTCGTGTTGAATTTGGGACATGCAAAAAACTTCATGTCCGGATTATTATTGCTCCATAAAGTCTATCGAGGAGCTAAGAGTCCCAATTTGCAATATCTTATAGGTGAATCATCAAGATAATCATATTGAAATTTTTGAATGAACAATAAAGAAATATTTTCCGTATCGGAGGGTTTGTGTTTGATGATTTTTAAGGAAAAAAAAGAATAGGAAGCCATTAATTCTCTCTATTCCAATCGAAATTTGAAGAAGATGACAAGACTTATATAAGATTTTGACAAAGACCTAGCTCACTCTCTCTACCCTCAATTCATTTCAATTAGCCAAAAACCTAACTAAAATCTAACCCTTAAGAGATTATGTCATAAACTTTTAACAACTCTCTCGTAAAAACGTTATCAATCTTGCATTCTTCTTTTCTCTCATTTTACAAGAAGAATTGAAAAGAGGAAAAAAAAGTCATTAGCCTTACCCTTTTCAATTCCTCTCGACTTCAATTAAAAAAAAAAAATTGAATAACAATCAACTAACGAGTTAATCATTAAAAATAACAAAAACTGAATAAATTAGATCACATTTGTTTAATCTTTAATACTTTAATTCAAATTACATGCTTTGATATTTTAGACTTCAAATTGCTAAAAAAAAAAAAAATTCATAATACAGCTCATGCTGCTCAACTAAACAAAACTCATCATTTACCTATAAATTTTTTTCAAAAAAAATGCTACTCTTTTAGATTTCCTTTTTTTGTTATTGATTTCATTTATGAAAAATAATTATAATACTAGCTCATTACAAAAATGAAATATTTATTTTGAAGAAAAAAATCACCAATTATTCTTTAAAATAATAAAAATTATTTTACATCAATTATTATAAAAAATAAAACTAAACAATTGACTAATTTTATTGGTTTTTTTTTTTTCAAAATAGGCAAACATGTAAATATATTTTATGGCAGTTATAAAATCATCATTTACCAATTTGGAATATTTTAATCTTCCTATAAATAAATGAATCAGAGCGCTATTTACAGGCTATTGTCTCTCGTCATTAAACATAGACAAGAAAGATTTACTAAATGGGAGATACCGAACATCCAAGGGTTTGAACCAAAGGATTTCATTGAATTTTCAGATTCAATTGATTATAGACTGTACAATTTACCAGCACCTTCAATAAATCTTGTTGAAAATTGGGAAGGCGCTTCTTGGGACACGGCTAAAACAATCAACATCAGAAACCATGTCAAGCAGCACAAAATTGACGAAAGGACGCAGGAACCCACAGCTCATCAATCGCCGAAAATATTCTGGAAGCACCAACCAAATGTTAAGAGAGGACATTTCCTGGAAACCTTTTTCATTCCCCCAACCCCCTATATGTGAGACTTCAAGGTCGTATGGACTGTCAATTCTCTTAAGATACTACATACTGGTCTTTTTACTTGAAAATCACCATATCACCCCAGCAAATGTATCCTGTCCGCAAAAATTTGAAACAAAAGCAGCAATTACCTCAGCAAAAAAGGATTTGCTTCCCTTCATTCAGAGTCCGAGTCAATAGAAAGATACAACCGTCTTACAGAACGTTTTTGGCGAGGAAATGAGAAAGGACTGTCCGATCTTTGTCGACTTGCCTTTTCAGATCTGCCATCATTTATACCAAGCAGCAAAGAATCTGCACAATCGGGTATAATCAGTGTTGAAAAAAAATATATATATATATATATATAAGAGGAACATCAAAACCTAGAAAATGGATATGAAAGTAGTATAACATGGGTAAACTTGCAAACTCTTCTCCAGAAGCATAAATCAACAATGATAAAGCTTTTAGAAAAAAGAAACAAACCAGTGCCAGCCAAAGAATCCATGCCATCTTCTCTAGATGGCATCTGCTGTCTTGAATTCAGTCCAATTGTTGAAGGAACTGACTCGCTGAGATTGCCAGTAGAACCACCACCAAGCCTAAGAGAGATCCAATCATCAGTACGGACACCATTTGACACATCAGCTTGATCCCTCATATCAGACTGCATTGATGCATCTGAAGGCCCTGTTGGAAGAAAGATTTGCAGACTAGGATCTTCTCCACCAAAAGCCAAGGGATTATCAACCAAGCCACCATTTACATCCATGTCTGATCGACCAATAGAAGAATCTGGGATTAAACAAGTAGATCCCATGACGGTTTCCGGAGCTAAGGCGTATCCATTCATTGATGAGGGACAGTTAACAGGACCATGTGGCAAATCAACTAAGGCATCCGAGACATCTGAATTAAATAATTGGAATCCTGGGCCTGCTTGGTTTCCGGGAGGCAGTGGCCAGAGGGGCATCCCATATTCATCATTAGCATTGAAAAGACCCAAGCACGAATTTCCATCAGTCCCAAGTGTAGGATCTTCCGGAAAAGGATCTACAATTCCAGAAGGGGGCACAGAAAAAGTAGCACCACCATCATTTTGATTACTCTTGTAGACAGATCCAGAGGAAATCAATATATCATTATCGTCATCTGAATCACTAAGGACAATGACTTCTGCATTCCCTACTGGTGCAGATAAATTTCGGTCAGTGAATCCATATGTTGAATATACATTCAAAGACAAAGAATCAAGCTCCGTTCCATTGTTTGTGAAATCAAAATTTCCACCAGCATCTTGATTTACACTTGGATCTTCCCCATCACGACCACTACCAGTGGCACTACTGCTCATAGGAATAACTTTCTGTTCATGGTGTTCAAAGTTTTCTTGCAATCTACCTGAAGAGGAGGTGTTCATATCTTCAGGTTTGCTAACTTCCCAAAACCCATTGCGATTCTTTCTGATTCCAAGTTTCAAACCAGCACCAGCATTACCTTCGGAAATTCCTTCCTGCTTGATCTGCTTCACCATTTCCACTTTTGCTTTGAATTCTCCAACATTAGGGACACACAGAGTACTGTCAGGATTATGCCATTGTGCAAGTTCTCCAACATCCTTACGGTCAGCTTCAGTTTTTGTTTTCACACGCCAGGAACCATCAGGCTTCACCTCAATCTCTGTTATATCTTCCACACAATGCCTCATCTATACCACAAGTGAACAAATATAAAATACACAAATATCATAAACAAAGAACTGGGATAGACAGAGAAGGATATCCAAACAATACCTTAGATGTGATGCGACTGAAATATGGGTCGATGATTATATTTTCCAAGGAGTAGTTCTTGAGACAGATGGGGCACTGCCACTGTATAGAGTGCAATGGTAGCTCAGATACGTAAAACAGATATAACAGTAACCTATTCATATTCCATTACACACACACACACTAAAACAATGATTAGCTGCTTGCCTTCCTCGAACGCTGGTTCAGCTCCACAAAAACTTCCAGGTCAAAACAGCCCATGTGTGCACAAGGTTTGAATCTTCCTGCAACCTTCATTCTCGAACCACTCATCTACGCATGGAAATCAATTTCATGAAACAATTTCAGCAACTAAGCTACTGAATTTATGACTGAACTATATAACCTAGTAATGTAGAACAGAGAAGAGAAGAAAGGGAAATGAAAGGAAGAGAAGAAGAAAGGTAGGGATGGAGAAGGAGAAAAAAGAGGAAGATGTAGAGAAGAAGAATACTTTTTTATTTACGATCTAAAACTGACAATAAAAATATTATGTGCTTTATATAGAGGCACCAAAGAAACCCTAGAGTTTTAAAAACTGATAGAAGATCAAACTAAATGAAAGTAGCAGATATCAGTGTATTTTTTCCTAATATAAACATAGCTAAAATCTCTAATAGGTCCTCCATCATCTTCCTAGTTTCTTGAAGCTTGCTACAAATAAAAAAGAAGAATGCTACAATTTAATAAAGCAATTTGATGAATGAGGAAACAAAATGCTGGAAAAATAAAACATTGCTTAGAAAGAAAGCATTAGATATTGCATCACTGACACCATGAACATTAACAAAAGTGGACTTCCCTAAGAGCATAATGCATTAGATAATTGGTCGAATATAACCCATATACAAAAGAAATTCTGGAATGGTTGTCACAAGCATAACAGCAAGACTCCACATTGTAGGTATTATATTTCCGTGAAACATATTGTTAAGCAGTGGTGGATCTTGACAGCGAGATCAATAATATGGTATTATTTATTGCGTTGTTAATAGATACAATATTTTATGTACAAACTGGTCATTTTTATTTAAACCAATGCATATATAATTTGAACAAAAGATATTTTTTTAGGTAGCGCTAAATCCACCAGATATTTTGTTATTTCCACCAAGATTTTGTTATAAATTACCAACACACCGCTATCACATCAAGTTAGTGACCAGATGGTAACTAGATGTAAGGGTTTGTCAGTAATTTACAACAAAAAAATTGGTTGGAATAACAAAACATATTGTGGATTTAGCAGTACCCATTTTTTTATTCATATGCTTTAAAAAAACATTAGCATTTTTATAGAAGTGATTGATTTAAAACAGTTGTTTGCTTCCATCCTATATATTGACTTGTCAAATAATTTAAAGGCTTAATGGTATAAACACATATATTGACATGTCGAATAATTCAAGGGATTTTTCTCATAGATAAACACAAATTTTATTCTTAAAAACCAAGGATCAATATCAAATTCTGGGATTCACACGAGATACCTAATTAAATAAATTTGTTCAACATTAGGAATAAAATTGTAACTTCTAAAAAAGCATGGACCAAAAAGTAATGTTATTCAAAACCTAGAGAGGGCTACTGTCCTCCCCTGTCCCTTCAAGAATAAGCATACAAGAAAGATCCTAGACTGGTCAAAACCAAACTCTGGCAGCATGGGACCTATTCCACACACCCAAACCCACCAGCATTGCAACAAAAGGTGGCCATTCCCCTACTATCAAAATAACAGACATCAAGTGAAAAGACCAATATTCAAAGTGGTGACGGTCGGATATTCACTCTGACTAGGACATAGTGCAGCGCGACATATGGACTTGCAATTCATAATAGGTTCACGTAACTTACAGGACAACGAAGATTGACACCAAAAGAATCTGCAACAACTTCCAGGTCACTGTCACTATCGGCATTGTCTGTTACAGTTCCACCACCAACGCAACGACAAACACGAGAAAGTGCTTCTTCAAAATGCTCACCTTCAGACTCCTTGGGAATCAAGTTGAGTATCTAAACAAAAAACAGAATACAAAGCTTCAACTAAACTTTATTTTTTTGGGGGGAGGGGGGGAGGAGAAAAAACTGCCAGCAGTCTTTATTTGTGTCCTTATAAAATCTCTAATAAATGTAAAGACATTATTTCAAATGGTTATTTTCCCAATCAACACAGATAAAAACAAAAAATCAGTGATATCAAACTCAAACATAATTACTTCAAAATTATATTATTAAAAATGATTAAAATCACCTGTTGAACTGTTCGTCGTTTTACAATTCTAACTCCTAAGCAGAAGGTTCGAGCATCACATCCGTTTAATGAAATCTTATTGAACCCATCTTTTGCACATGGCGTGATCTAATCAAAGAACAAGACAAATAAATAAAAAAAAATGAAATTCAGAAAGTAGTCTCAAATTTGAAAAATGACAAGTCCAACTGTGAGTCTACAGATGAGCAATAGAATGATTGAAACAAGAGGGTGCACCATCACAGACAACAATATCTCGCAGATAAACTGCATGTGATAAGATGTATTGATGATAACTATAAAGAATATTTGTGTTTGTAAAGTCAGAGACTCACAATTGGACCATCATCACGACCATTAGCCCCCAGCAACTGCGAACCAGGTCTATTAATAGCACGAACAGCTATACCTGTACATCATACGTAATTTAAGAATTCAATATGCAAACAGCATCATCACAAACTCTGGACCAAAAGAAACACCACGATACACATTTCACAACTGCACAAAAGATCCAGCTTCAAGAGAAAAAAAATGGCTTTTCTGACAATATCAGCAGCAAGATAGGAACTGGAAAATGGTTGTTAGACATAAAGAATTGAAGAGTAAGAGGGATATCAACAGATTAGTGGAGTAAATATTCAACTGCATACCATTAACCTGGAGATCAGCATACTGTGGCCATTGCATCCTAAATGGAACTTTGTCATTCAAAAGCATACACCAGGCCTAAACAGTACAACATAATAAACAGACATTAGTACATCAATAATTTACTAAAATAAGAAAAATTTAAGCACTCACCAACCTGAACATCATATTCTTGTTTTGCCAACAGATCCTTGTCTGCCCTAGTGAGATGAAATGTTTTCTCCACACCCTGCACTGGGCTTGAACTGGAAAATGTTTGATATTAAAATATTAAATAACACACAATTATACAAGTATGAGGCCTTCATAACAGATCGACCTCCTTAATTCATGAAAGTTGGCATTGGGTTATAAAAGAGCAAACTGACTGTAATGCTAACTCCTACAAGTACAGTGCCATGTTATCGTGCATGTAGCATGTGTGCATAGTGTATTTATCATCACATAAAAAAAGGCTAAACAGCACACATAAGGATCACCCATCTTGCTCAATAATAAAAAAGGTAGGCCTGGGTAACAACAATAATCACAGAGCTTGCTACATCAACCAATTGTCCATAGACATCAACTTCATCAACCACCCACTTATTATTACTAGCACCATACACCAAATATCTCGTTCTGTATAACTAAACCAGAAGAAAAAACTAGATCCTCCAGATATTTATATCCTTCAAAATCCCAAAATTAAAAGGGGTAGAAACCACTTCAAGTTGTCTAACATCTTTTCTAAAGTAACTTGACCACAGAATGTTCCTGGTAAGTCCCATTAACATGCATGGAGGTGCTCAAGCTCTAAGAGGTTAGCAGGACATGAACCCAGTCTTTCACTATAACCTGAGTCATCGAAAAAACCAGTTGCTATCATCTATTTGTCTCACAAGCAGGTGCCATAACAAAGAAAGACCCAGCTTTCTTGCAGTTTACAGAAAACTGAATAGAATATGGCACCATAATACAGAGCATAACTCGTATTTCTATAATATTCATTGCTACAAATTCAGCAGCCAAACAGTTAAATGATGGTATCTGGCGCAAACAAACAAAAAAGAATTTGAAAAAGATATCCACATGTTGAATCTACCAAGAAAAACTGTAATTGCAGTTGAAATCACTTTATTGAATATTTTTCTTCATCGAATTAAGTGAACATTGGGTAGCAACTACCTCCAAACCAAACACAAGTGCTAGCATGTCTAACCATTTTTAAGTTACAGGAAGACTTGTATAATTGACTTACCCATCAGTTGGAACATTTGTTACAACCAGCTTCACAGGATATAGTGGATGTGCAACTGTAACCCAAAAGCTGTATATGGAGACAGAAATTAAAAATAAATTAAAAAAAAAAAAGCTCCAAAAACATTTTATGAAAATGCAAATAGCAGAATTGAAAATGATTAGTCAGAGCACCAAACAAACAAAGATCAAAGATAAACAATATGTACATCACACAATACTAAGTAAGATACATGACATCAAGAAACCTTGTAAAGCTCCAGTTCTAGCAGGTCACCTCGCCCATGCTGGAAGGGGAAACAGGTGCGTACACAAGATGCACACACGCGGCATTAATATATCTCGTCTCACAAGGCATTAAACCATGTCATTCTTTAAAAAATTTGCAAAGGCCACCTATACAACTTCCTGATTATGCTGGGAAAATAGCATGCTAATAAGCTAATTGAAGGTTCTCCACAAACACAATCTTATTTCTTCCTACTTCAATCTTCTTCCTTAATTCTGCCCTCTTTCTTCCAGTTAATGCTGTTTCCCTACTTTTCCCACACCACTCTTTCCCTCACCATCCCTTAAAACGATCAATTTATCCTCTCTACTAGCTCCCAAGTCCAAAACATATACAAAAGTTGCTTGTTCTCTTAGCCCAGGTTGATGGCATCTCCAACTTGCTTAGACTATCACTGTAATTCTTTTTAAACTTGAAAGGCCTTGCCCCTCATCTAACTTAATAGATTCATTTCCCTCCTAGCTCTTGACTAACATTTTTACAGACCAGTTGCACGGGAGAATACAATTTGTTTGACACCAAGTTAATGAACTACCATGCCAACAAGAAGCATGGTAATAGTAAAACAAGTCCAGAAAAATCATAAAAGCATTTAATGTTTTAATTCGCCAATCTCAAAGGTAAAATTGTAGCTGAAATGTGATGTTACACTGCCAGCAAGGAAGCGTATAGTCAGAGAAAAAAAATCCTGGAGAAGGGAGGGGAAAATTTTCATTCCATACATAAAGCAGTAAACAAAAGAGAAGAAAATATATATGATACATACGGGTCAGCCCTGCTTAGCCGACAAATCTCACAGTAGAACACGTCAGGAACTTGTGGAATGCCCTCCATGGGTTTTTCTGGAATTATAACACAACTAATGTGTTGCCACACATGACATTTAAAATCCTCGCACTGCCAATTGCAAGGAAAAAAAAAGGGTAAATAGTGGCACAACAGATTAGCAAAGCCTTTAGGATAGAATTAAGTGCAACAGTAGTGAAGGAGGAAAAGGAGAAAAGAAAAGTAGCTTATGTATCTATTCTTAATGCAGGCTTTTTCTTCAACTTGAATAGGTACAAAAGATAGTAGCAAATACTGCAATTGTCTACACATACACAGATGAGCACAATTAAGGTTTCTGCATATGATCCCTCGGCATTTTCTCTAAACAGCATATTATAATTAACGTGATATACTGAAAACACAACAATTCCACCATTGTGCCTCAGCACTGATCATGAAGGTTATTGGAAAAGGATGGTGCATAGATAAACTTTAAGCCTCAATACAATGCGATAACTCAACAGAAAAATCACATACAAAGCATAAAACATTCTTAAGAAACAATCAATTATCTTAGAATTTTGGTGAACAACAAAGTAAAAGGAGCTGGCATCATTGCAATTGTTAGTTTCCAGCTACTAGAAATGCAAACATGAAAGTCCATGGAGATGGTATAGGTATAAGAGTGAGGTATAGAGATTAGGCTACATAAAGGGGGACACCAATTTAGATCCCACAGTAGTAAAACTACTCCAATTAAGCAAGAAAGTGATTCAAAACATGGGAACGGCGATCCATATGCTTAAAAATGCAGAGCCTTAATTTTCATCAAACTTAGAACATGCCTCGGATACTTTAGAAGTAATACAAGCTGTCCATTGAGCATTACACATCTACAACTGATAATGGATGGAAATTTACTAGAGAAGGATTTTAACCTTAATCATTGACTCTGTCTCCAATGAGCTTCCACATGGACAGCGAACTTTTGTGTCCGAGTGAAATGGATCGTCCATTTCTCCATTAAACTTTGAATTACTGCAATCAGAAACACCCTGTCCCTTAGATGCTAAATCAGTGGCCCCAGACACCTGCATTTTCCTGGAGATGAGAACAGGGTGTTTGTCAATGGAGGGAATAAAAGCAAGACTTTGAAGAACATAAATGGTTGTACAGCAAGAAAAAAGGCAGCTATAGGGCCTCGTGAAGCATGCAACCACTGTAAATAATTTGGAATGTTAAACAGAAAAGATGTACCTGTAAGTGTCATCCACTAGTTTTGCCACCTCTTCCTTTCCAATGGCACTCTTCTTTGCCCATATCTTGGAAACTAAAGATAAAATAAAAAATGACTTAATTTATTCTTTCAAAAAGCAAGAACCAAGTTCAACCCACACAATAGAAAGTGCTTGAATATGTTGATTATAAACTAGGTGCTCAACAACCCATGAGAAACAAATAAATAGACATGCAAATCCACACCCAATCATCAAAGAACAAGAGATAGAAGGAGGGAGGGGGAGATGATGCCATGAATTGAAAACTGAGACAAACCATTGACGGGGATTTGGGATTGCAAGCTTCTCTAAACTGTCTATAAAAATGAAAGAAATTCATTGCTGTGGATATTAGATCCACACCATCAATAAAAACCTACAACTAAAATAGGGGGAATAATAATCAGAGAAAATTTCATTTCCCAATCCCAAAAATTCAAATTAAAAGTTGATTGCATATTATTTCCACTGTATCAATAAATTTCTAGAGGTTCAAAACATCCATTTGACTCATCAAAGCTTATTGTATACTAAGATTCTGTGACACCAGAATCATCGGTATTCCACTTAATTTGGTATGAAGTTGTTAGTGGCAGAGATTGAATCCAAGAATCTCACGGTGCAACATGTGGTGGTACTTCAAGTTTCCTAGTTGGTAACCATCATTAATTATGCAAGCATATGGGGGGAAAAAAAAAAGAGATAGCTATGTAAGTATCACAAAACAGGTAATAAAAATTGAAAAAGAAAAAAGTGTACCAAACAATAAAATCTACAGCATTTACTTAATTCGAGGGGGGAAAAAGCAATGATGTGAAATAGAATACAAAAGAAAAACATTTCTCAAAAGGCCTTCAATAAAGGGTTTCATGGCTTCATAGTAACCCAGGAGAGTCTGCATAATCAAATACTTATTAAAACTCTCTATTACAAACAACAGTGTTGCAAGGAAGGAGCATGTTACCTTGTTCATCAGACAGAAGAGCTAATATCCGGTCAACAAGGTCCTACACATTTTAAATTACAGCATAATCAAATACAAGAGTTATAAGCAATAACCAAGCCACATACAGTCAAAAGCATTTACAGTTTATGAAGAAATCACTTTCTGCACAGGTAATAGGAGCCCAAAACCATAAGAAGGCAAGAAGGCAAGAAATGGTCTCGTGAATCAGAGAAAGCAAACGGGGAAAAATATTCTGATTTTTTCAAGGTCCAATTTAACATATTGATAGTCAAATACAACCAAAGCTTAAAGTTTAGCCAGTACCATTATGTAATGACAATTCCAAGCATCACATACAAGAAAATGAAGCCCCGAAAAAAAAAAAAAAAAAGCCGCATCTAACCTGCTTCTTCCCCTGCTTTGAAAGACCTAACTGAGTCAGGACATCCTTGAGCTCTTTTATTCGAAAATATGCCAATTTGTCCTATAAAAAAAAAAAAAGAAAAAAGAAAGGGTGTTTCATAATCTCTTCGCTAAAACAACACAGAAAAAGATACAAGCTACTTGATTACAGGAAATTTCCAATGCCTAAACAACATGAGAAGATATCAAAGACGTAGGGAAAGACCAATCCCGAGTTCAATCAACCCTCATAAGCATAGCCAACTCTTATTAAGTAGCTCAATGACTCCGATATGAGGAAGGAGCCGTGCATGGTGCAATGATGGAGTAGAAATTTGTTTTTTTTTTTTTTTTTTTTTGAAACGTATCATATGGAGTTACACATTCTTCACACACACAAATATATAGATTTGGTGTTTGGGGGGGGGGGGGGGGGGTGGGTGGGTGTTGGGTGTTTAGTGGTGTTAGTCTGTTCTTAACTTGTTGAAGGACTTCGTAATTAATATCACAGACTTTTAGCATAAAGCAAGCCTTGTGCAAATAAAGAGGTTTCCTTAGATTCTATAAGTTATTTATTTCATATATGGACCACCGCATTGTCCAATGAATAATGGTTTTGCAATTCCTTCTGCGCCCATAATTAGCCAGAACCCCAATAGCACTTGTCTTTGTGGAATTTATGCATTTTAACTATCCAAAATGAATATATATCTTGGACTTACAACCACCAAAACACAAGTTCAGGCTGTGGGAGTTCCCACCTGATAACCTATCTCAAAAATTATCATCCAGTGAGTGGATCAAAGGTGTTCTTGGCTCCATAATGATAAAACAAGTATGAAAACAATTGGTGCATGCAACTGCCAAAAAAAGTAAATACCAAGACTCTTACTTCAAAATGAGAAAGTGAATACAGGGGGGCAAAAGGAGAGAGAGAAGGATAAGGAGGCTGGTTTGAAGATGCAGCCCAATCAATCAGTAGCATTCAGTAAAATCAATTCAAACTTGCTTTGCTTTTGCAACAACCAGGTGAACTCATACTTATATAAATAAATAAACTCAACAGTCAATTACCTTATCACTAAAGTTATCATAAGGATGAAGAACTTGAACCATTTTCAATATATACGAATACAACTAGGAGTTGCACCACCGTGAGGTATGTTTAGTATTAGGCACATGGAAATAAATTAATAAATAAGGAAGTTCAACCACAACTAGCAGGACAATTATATTTCCTCTTCTTCTTCTGCTTCTACTAGACACTTAGCATAGGATAGCAGGCATGTAAACCAGTATAAGAAACTAAATCAAAACAAAAACAGCACAGTAGATTTGGAATTCAATAAAACAAAAGAAAACACTTCGTAGAGCTACAACTAAATTACCTTGCAACTAGCTACTAAATCCATCCTTCAACGTCCAAGAAAAACCGAAATCGATTGTTACTTAAACCATGGATTAGTATACAAATAAATCCACCACTTTGTACAGTCGCGAACAGCGATCGATCTATTCAAAAATTAACCTACCAAAGAAAATGAATCGGAATTATCAATCTGCATAATAATTAAATAACAAAAAAAAAACAAACAAAGTAAAATCACATACGTATTTTGATGATAAACTGAGAAGAGATAAAGAAATCGGAGGTCAATTAGGGTTTCAATCGCGTTTTGCTTGTTTCCGCGTTTTTTTCTTCTTTTATTATGACCCAAAGAAGAAAAAGGGAAAACCAAGAACGAGCTATCTTCACATTACAAAAAGTCCCGGACCTATCGGCGATTATCAAATCCGGTTTTTTTAACGGGAACACGTCCGGGTTTCATTTCTCTAACTTTTTCGCGTTTTGCTACGCTGCGTGTTTCGATGATGCACGCCCTTACGTTTGCTTTTTACTTTTTTTTATTTTTCACGTCCTATTACAATTACAATTACATTACAAATTACAAATAAAACTACAAGAAAACGACACACAGTTGTAGAAATTTTATTATACATTAAGTGTTCACAGCTCTTTTTTTCAAAAAAAAAAATCTTTTTCCTCCTGCTTGCTACTCTCTTTTCCTTTTTTCTTGTTTTCTTCTCTTTCTCCTCTGCTTGCTTTTGGCTTTTAGTAAACTTTGGTTTTATTTTGGTCCTTGTTTTGTAATCTTTTTTATTTTAGTCATTAAATTTTTATTATATTTGATTTTTATCCTTATAATAAATATTAAAATTTTATTATATTTAATTTTTATCTTTATAATAAATATTAAAATTTTATTATATTTGATTTTTATCCTTGGATTAACTCGTTAATGGTTTTTTTTTCTCCCGCTTGCTATAGCTAAGGCCCTCTTTTTTTTCCTTCTTCTCTTCCATTTGCTTTTGGCTTTTAGTAAATTTTGTTTTTATTTTAGTCCATATTTTGTAATTTTTTATTTTGGTCATTAAAATTTTATTATATTTGATTTTTATCCTTGTAATAAATATTAAAATTTTATTATATTTTATTTATATTCATATAATAAATATTTTTTTCTTGTCTTTTATTAAAAATTTATGTTTTTTTAATGTATATTTTGTGATATGTTTTTATTTTTGTTGTTAAAGTTTTATCGTATTTGATTTTTATCCTTACCATACTAAGGGCTTGTTTGATAACCCATTTAAGTAACTTAAAAAATTAAGTTATACTACTTAATATAAAAAATTTGTTTGATAATCTAAATAACCTCATTTTTAAATTTTAAATTTAGTCAAAATCTACTTAATTAGATAAGTTAAAATTTTTAATTTATTACTTTTTGATTAACACGCTTAGTTGAATGATTTTTAAAACTTTTTCAATATGACTATAATACCCCGATATTTTTTATAACTTCGATTATACAAACCAATTAAAAAACAATCTCTACTCTCCTATTGCTAAAACAAGTAAAAACCTTTTTTTATTATCGGTGCTTCCATCATATCATCATTAACAAGCTACCGGGAATCCGAAACTCCAAAGTCTAATGCCAGGTAATTTTCCTTCTATTTCATTATGGGTGAATTTTCCTTCTATTTCATTATGGGTGATTTATCTTTGTGTCCGTTGATATCTTAATTTTTTTTTTTTTGGTATAATTATTTTGTTAGATCAAGCCATGTTATAGATTAAGCTATTTTAGTTTATAGGTTTTGATTAAAGGTCAAATCTTTATGATTAATTGAAATTTTCACGTGAAAATTTAGTTAGAGCAAGGAGTTTTTATGATTTAAAAAGAAGCATTGATTCTTATATTCAAGTCCCTTAAAATAATTGTAATCGTGGGCATTACTATAGTCTACTACGTTCTTTGACACGGCAACTGTCTAGGTCATCGCCCTTGTTAGATTCTTAAACCCTTTAGAGATCAAAATTTATTGTAAAGTTTTAAGTTTTATGATTTGTTGTATGTGTCGTGGCAATGAAGGTTAGTGCTTTGTTATTGGGTTTACTCGGTTTTAGTGGGGTTTAGAGAATTTGGTGAGATTTGGGAAAAGGGTCATGATGGATTTGCATTTGAAGAACTTGTATGGTAGATTTCGGGAGCAATTTGGCTCGGTCCTAGGCTTGGTCCTGGATCGTGGACGTGTCTAATGAAGGTAGAGGGACTTTCTCCCAATTTCATTAAGTCTATATATATATAGGTTATACTCGCTCTTTATAGAACCGAACCATGGAAAAGATTACGTCCGGGCATGTTTTTGGTATCCGGGTTGGGAAGGATTCGGATTGGTCTAGCAAGAAACAACCTTTTCCTTATTTAGAGATTAAAACACTACTTAGACATGGAAATTAACTAATCCTAAAAAAATACTATGAGACAAAGTAATGGATGCTAGCATGACGAGTAGGTCGCAAGTAATTATATTATTATACTTGAAAAAAGGAATGGCATGCAAGAGAGATTTGACATAGTAATAATAATTATATAATGGAAGAGTTCCACATCTCTTTGTGTAGACAAAAGCTATCTACAGTGTCTCATGATTCAAAAAAAACAAGAGAGAAAGAAAAACCCCGCAATCAATAAATTCATAACCCATTAGTCTAGATTTTTAAAGTAAAATGGTGTCCATCTTCCTCACACTTACACGTTTAAGTGAAAAATAAATAAATGAATTAACATACGAAATTGTTATGCATAAAAATCTTTCTTTTAGACCTCATCTTGCAGCTTGGAAAGTTAATAAAACCCCTTGATTGAATTTTTTTTTCTTTTAGCTAATGGACTTAATTATCAAATTATCACTTTTTTGGGTACATTAACTTAATTATCGGATTAATCACTTGCTTTTTAAGCAAAAATATATACCCAATTCTCTTTTCTCAAAATTTGGTTGCATAATAGCTAATGTTCTTTAATTTAATAAATACTTTTACTCTAAACAAAAGTCACTTATTAATATGATTAATTATGTTTAATAGTACCGATTTTATTTTCGATCATTGAACGTAATTTATTTTTTTACTCTTAATTTATCAATTACTTTTCTCTTTAGATTAATCAATAATTGTATTTAGAAATAAATACTATTTTATTTTTGTTAAAATATATTTATTTTCTCATATTAAGTTAAATTATGAATCAATAGATGTGTTAAAATCACATATGATAAATGACAAAAAAAAATTCATGCAATCTTTCTTTTATACATGTTGTCTAATTTTTTTCATAGTTTTTTTTTTTTTTGGCATATATCTCTTCGGATACATGGTGAACACATTATAGATGTGATTTTTTGTATAATCATTTTATTATATGTAGGATGGCTTCGAAGATAGTGCTAGAGCCAATTGGAAGGACCCTAAAATAGTAAAAAAAAATTTGGATACATGTATTGAACAAGTGAGTATTCTTGAAAAAAATGGAGGGAGCTTAAAAAAAGAATCATGGGACAATGTAGTGAAAGCATTTGAGGGAAAAAAAGGCATTAAGTTTTCTCAAAAACAACTCGAAGAATGAGTGGACGTATTTGAAAAAGAAGTACATAGTATGGTCAAAACTAATAGATAAAAGTGGACATGGTTATAATCCAGTGACTAATACCGTCAATTGAACCGCACAAGAGTAGGACGATTATGAGCAGTGTATTTTTTTTTTTATACATTTCATTCCCTATTAAAGCTTAAAGCAATTAATCATATTATTGATTTGATATATTTATGTAATAGAATAATAATGACGTGAAACAATTTCGTTATGTTAGTTTGCAATTTTCGGATGAGATTAAATCATTATTTGATGGAATTTCAACCACTCGGAAAAGAAGGTTGGGGTCCTTCTAAAGACAGAGTGCCTATAAATGTAGTTTCTTCTAAAGAATCCATGCAAACAAATGGAGCTAGTTCTTCTATGCCAACCGAACCAATTGGAACAAATTTTGAAGAATTTATTGATTTGGAGTCTACTTCTTCGACTCCATTTTCAACTCCAAGCGATGAAATGAAAAAGCCTAAAAAACGTCGAAAGAAGAATAAAAATGATGACATTGATGATCAATTAATGGCAGATCGAAGACACTTGGAAGTGGTCCGATGGACATAGTGTAGAATAGTACAATAAGAAGTTAGATGAGATGGAGACTTTAAGAATGGATGACCCTTTATATCTAGTCGTATGTACTATCTTCTATGAAAGCAAAACATATCGAGAGCAATGGATAAATCTTTCTCAAAAGCCGGAGGAAGTCGAATTGGATGGATCAAAATGGTTGCTAAAATGTTGGCATTGTTTTAATTGAATATTTTTCCTTATGATTTGTGTTTAGTATTTTAGAATAATTTGTTTTATTTGGATTGTCTAGAATTTTCATAAGAATTATAGTTTGAATAAAAGTGCTCTAATTTAAATATTTTTCCTTCAATTAGATTTCTCATCAATTTTTTGATACATGCTTTTATTTTTTTTAAAATTAACAAGCATGTTGACGGATAGGCAAAAAATGAGTTTAAGGATTATTATGTTGCTTCTTATATTGAAAAGGATTAATAGAAGACGTGTTGGCGAGAAGATCGATACGTGATTCGACTTTTGAAGGACATGCATATATGCTAAAGATCCTTCATGAAAATCCAACTCATTGTCAAGAAATGTTGAGAATGAAAAAAGAAGCATTCTCAAATTTATGTGATTACTTCAAACAAAAAGGATGGTTGAGAGATAGTCGTTATATTAAGGTTCAAGAAAAAATGACAATGTTTTTTATAACTTTAAGTCAAAATTTTCGAAATCGTGCCGTGAAACGAAGATTTAATCATTCAACTCAAACAAGTGCATCACTACTTTCATGAAGTGTTGCAAGCAATGTTAAAGTTTGCAAGAGAAATGATTGTACCTACTATATTTTACCCGCATTTAAGTCAAGTTCAACATCATCATCGACTTCGTCAAGTATTTCGAGTTATACAATTAGCTTTTTGTTTCTAATTTTATTGATTTGTGTATTTTAAAACTAACTAAATTTTTTATTTATGTATAAGGTGTTGTTGGTGCACTTGATGAGACTTTTAATTCATGTTGTTATATCACCCGACCAACAAGTCCCATATAGAAGGAGAGGACGAGGAGATTGCTATCAAAATGTTCTTGCAATATGTGATTTTGATATGATTTTTACTTTTGTTTGAGCTGGATGGGAAGGTGTAGCATATGATTCAAGAGTATTAACGTAAACTATGCGTGACTCATCAAATAATTTCCCCATCCCTCCACTCGGTAGGTTGTTTCCATTCTTATTAAATTCTTTTTTTTTTTAATAAAAAATTCCCCTTAAGTTTTTTTATAAACATTATTAATAAGTGTATTATGTCAATAATTTTTATATTTTTCATGCAATTTATTATATCAATATTTGATGGCGGATAAATATTATCTTTGTGATGCTCGTATATGCGCATACTAGAGGGTTTATGACACCCTATCGTAATACGTGATATTGGTTATCCGATTTCACAATGGTCATCATCCAAGATCAAAAGAAGAAGCATTTAATCATGCATATGCAAAATTGAGGAATGTTATTGAACGAGCATTTGGTGTTTTAAAAGCAAGGTTTCCAATTCTAAAGACAATGGCCCCATATCCATTTACGGTTCGGAGAGATATTGTTATTGCATGTATTGCAATACATAATTATCTTCGAAGAACAATTGTTACTGATGACTTTTTTGAACAATTTGATGGTGATTATGTGATGCATCAAACGCCAAATGTTACTGCAAATTTACCATTCATCGGAGGAGGGGCGCAAGCACGAGCCGATCAAACATTTATGATTAATTTGCAAGACCAAATTGCAAATGAATTGAATAGTCTTTGAGATTTTATTTATTTTGTACATGATACAACAATTATGGTATCTTAGACCATTTTTTATTTTTTATTAATAATCATTTTTATTTATTTATTTATACACACAAACATATCTATGTATATATTTTTATTTGCGTTAAAAATATCATGTTACAATTACAAGGTTAAAATTATCATGTATATAGCTTTAGCATATTCGGTAAGAGTGGTTATCAAACAATCATATTATATTCAGCACTTAATTTTCGAGTAAATACCAAGCGACTTGTTAACTTAAAATTCGGTATTTAATTATTCAAGCACTTAAAATTCGAGTACTTAACATATTCATCACTTAATTTTCAGTTTTATCAAACACCACCTAAAACTAAATAAAGTTTCACTATCCTAAGTTTTTTTTTTTTAGCTTTTAGTGAAACTTTTCTATGTATTATAATTCTTATTTTGTGATTTTTTCCCCCTTGTTTTGGTCATTAAATTTAATAGAATTTTATTTTTGTTTTAGTCCCTATTTTGTAATTGTTTTTTATTTTAATCATTAAATTTTTATTATATTTAATGTTTTCCTTACAAGGAACTATTTTTTAACTTTTAGTAAAACTTTTTGTTACGTTTTGGTTTTTATTTTGTGATGTTTCTTTTATTTTGATCATTGAAGTTTTATTGTATTTGATTATTATTCTTTTTATACTAAAATTAAATATAGTTTCAATATTCTAAGTTTTTTTTTTGGATTTTAGTAAAAAAAAATTTTGTTTTGGATCTTATTTTGTGAATTTTTTTATTGTGATCATTAAAATTCTATAATATTTTACTTTTATTCTCGCTTTATGCATAATAAGTTTTTTTTTAGTCTTATTGTTTATATGTTTTTTTTTTCTTTTAGTGAAAGTTTTTTATTTATTTTGATCTTTCTTTTATGATCTTTATTTTGTTTTGATTATTTAATTTTTATCGTGTGTAATTTTAAGTCTTTTTTTTTTTTTTTGCCAAATTCTTGATTTCAATAAGTTTTCTTGTTTTTTGTTTTGGGTGATCTCTCTATTTCATTCATAAACTACAAATGAAGAATATATGGTAAAAATTAATTATCTAAATTTAAAAAAACTACCACATTATTATTTTAGTTACCAATTATTATATATATTTCTAACAAAATATATGTTTATATAAAACAATATCTAATTAGCAACTTTATATTACTCAACTTTGTAAATTTTTTTGTTTAGCTAACCCTACAGCTAAATATGAGATATATGTTTTGTTCTTTTTTTAATTTTTTTCGTGTGATCCTTTTAAATATATATATTTTTTAATTTTGTATTTTATATGAATAAACACATAAAAATATTGTATAGCTCACCCAACGACAACACGCGAGATATATGCTAGTTTCTTCGAGAAGGAGAATTTAGTATTGTTATGCACACGCATTGCTATTGTAACATTTATTTCGAACCACATAATAAGAGACATAGATACAAGATGGAAAACATCATATTTGATTAGTAGTAACTAGTTTTGTAACCCGCTTCGCTGTGGGCCTTACATAATTCAAATGGACAAAGCCTTACGATATTGATAAATTAGCTAGATTATGAGCCACTACCAATTGAATCATCAGCACAGTTGCATTTACAAGCACGAAGTTACACCACAACTGGGTGTCTCATCACTACAAAATCGTAAATATAGTTAGGAATCTTAAAAGTTCACGGGAGAATAAGAGCTTTGATAACCTTCAGTAGGTCCCCTAAATCTTCTTATCAAAGATCCAAAAAAACTCTGCAAGGAGAAGTAAATAACATAATATTTATGAGACCATTGATATATTGTTTTCAGATGTTTACATTCAACATCTATATAATTGGTAAATTAGCCAGCAGATAGATCTTTATTAGCAGTAATTATATACTGTGAGCTACGTCAGCTTCTATACTATGCTCACTTCAAAGTAAAAGAGACCACCGCCACACCAGACTTCTACTTCAGGAGTAGTACAACATATTTTTTTGTTCTTGTCCAGCAAACATTGGTGAACCTTAGAGACCATCTCTTAATACAACGAAAATGTATCAAAATCCCATAAATCATCTAACCACTTATATATTTAGATGGGTGAGTAAGCATCCCATGGGGTCCATTCTAAAAAGGAAATACCCTATGGAACCATGCATTAGGCTTGGACAATTGAGGGAACTCTTAGTTTAGAGATAGATTCCACTTTAATCATTGCAAGAGAACCAATGGCTGTGATTTGAAAAAACAAAAGTTATAATGTAATAAAAGAAACAAAGAAAATAAAATAATGACGAAAGTAAATAGCATTGATAGAGTTTAAAACATCGCACCCAAAATAAGAAAAACAGGTGAAAAGAAGATCAAATGTAATGCTTAAAAACAAAAGAAGGGAGAATAAAGCAAAGATAGAGAGAATTCCAAACCTTGTCTAAAAAATATTGTATGGTCATCCTTGTAATTTATGTTTGTGATTGCATTGACTTTATTTAGTACCGCCTGTATTCAAAGAATAAAGAAATTAGAATACCAATTGTCAATCGAATTAACTCCTGAGTTTGATGTTGGAGTATGCAAAAAATTGTTAATCGAAGTAATGGTAAAAAACTTGCCTTGACATGAGCCTTACAGTAGCTTCTGAGAGTTGGATAAGAGAAGAAATCATCATCAAATGTCAAATTAAGACCAGTGGCTTTTCCTCACTTAACACATTATGCTTTTCCATCATATGCATTTCAATTGTTAGTCAATGATAATATGATCCTCAAAATGAAGGTAATGAAAATCTCAAAAAGAGAAAATCCATACCACAAAAGCACTATCCCACCTTTCTAATTAAAGTTCTAAAAAGTAGAATACCATGAATATCAAGCCTTACACATGTATTAGAAATGAGCACTACCAAAAATGAAAGTTGAAAAGGCTCAAATCCAAGCAATACAACGAAATTCGATTGAGATCTCCAGCTTACCAGTCAAAGAACCCTTAATTTTTGGAATACCAGAACCTGCTGTTGTAGGTGCAAAATGCATAATGATATATACAGATGAGAAGACTAAAACCAAGTTAATTAATGCATGTACTACAAATCTAGCCAAATAGGATTTCTGAATTATTGAAAACGTCAGAGCAAACTTCAAGCCAGCAAAATTCTCAACAGATATATTGATGAAAACAACCGCTAATCCAGTACCTAAAATGACCAAAATAATATTTAATAACCTCTTAATAAAAATTATGCTACGGAATGTACTTAATTTAAAACCAGGAAAATATTGCTTAAACCAATATCGATGAGCAAAGCAAAGAACCGCTTAACTACCACATAATATCCAACATAGAGCTTCCCTATTTGCGCTTATCAGATCCAAAAAAATTAACCAAAACATCACAAATAAATTAAAGCAAAATGATAATTAAAACAAAAGGAAAATCAAAACATGCTTTTCTCGATACGCGTGATTCTCAAACCTCATAGTTAAGACACTCAACACTGCTTCCATTTTTGGTGCTCAACAGACTAACACCGTCAAGCTCGCTGTCCTTTGAGTTTGGAATCAGAGACCACAATAGCTTTGCAGTCTTAATGTTAATGCTGTAGAAAGAGAGACAGAGAAGAATGCACTGAAAGACTTAATAAATAAAGTCAAAGTCGTTGGTGGTGGAGATTCGGGTTACATGTTTGGGTGAGGGAGATGCAAAGGGCGGCTCGACAACAGTGGAAGGTGGTGGAAGGTTAGCTGTTGGTGGCGGAAGGTTATAGCGGGTTAGCCGTTGGTTTTAAATGATGATGGACGACTGAGAGGACTATTGTTGGGAATGAGGCAGCAGAGAAAAAGATCGACGCTATTACATCAAGAAAGAGAAAGATTTGTGTCTGTGAAAATATGAAAGACCAAGAGACATTTTGATGGGTGCAGGTTCCTAGAGATAAGATGAACACGTGGCAAATATCAATTGGTTTAAAAAGATTACGCTATCTCTAAAAAGAGAGGTGAAGAAAAAAATACAAAGATGAGATAACATTATTAAATTTAACGGGTAGTCGAATTAGAAATGAAAAGATGAAAATGGAGAACAAAAATAAATTACAAACGGACAGCATAAGAGGGCAACAAAGTAAATGCCCAATTCCACTGGTGTTCGTTACAGGATTTAAGCAAGGAAATCCAACGATAGACGAAAATTGAGAAAGAAACGAACGGTAAAGAGGCAACAGGAGATGAAGAACAGTGAAAGGAACAGCAACCCTGAGTCTAAGTCTACAATGCAATACCTCACAACGAACAGTGTTTTAAATAGTACTCAAACAGTAATCATTCATTTTCCTTTAGTTTTCTTTGTTAATGAAAATAAAATTCAAAATTGCTTCTATTTGAGGGATAAAATTAATGAATTTTTTACACTTTCTTCTTAGGAGACACATGAAACAGAGATAGAGATAAAAATTTTAATAAAAATTCTTGTCAATTGTAATCCATAAGCAAAAACTATGACGAAATTTATGATTTAACAACCAAGTCAGAAACTATTAGACTTCTCACAAAACTACTCTCAACAAGGATGTTTTTTTTTTTTTCTCTTGAGGTTGCTTGAATAGTTTTTACCATTAGATTTGTTTAAACAATATATATATATATATATATATATATATATATATATATATATATAATTTTAAAAGTAATAAATAATCAAAAAATAAAAAGAAGAGAGAGAAATTACCATCAACGAAATCTGGCCTAAACTTTCACAATAAAGATTATCAAATGAAAGCACTCAATGTGACAAATTCATAGAAATTAAAATCAAACCATTTCATATTCAAAATAAGAATATATGTCGAATTGAATATTTAGATCTTATATGATTAAATTCGAATTTTGCATTGATTGGTTATTTATTAATGATTTTGAGCTTATATTTGTATTTAGAAGGTTTAAGGTATCTCTTAGATGTGTCTGATTGAAAAAAAAAAAAAAAAAAAAAAATATATATATATATATATATATAAAGATTTTCAAAAGCATGTCTAGCGTTATATCGGAATCCAATTCGATTGTCCAAATTTTGACAGGACGCAAAGAAAATGATAAATAGATGACACATCATGCATCCATATGAATGTCATCCATGTACGTTTGTTTTCAATTATACTCGGACATGGGCTTAGCTCCAAGTGCGACAACTTTTTTCTTTCTTTCATTATTATTTTTTAATAATTTTCTCTATTGAATTAATCATTTTAATTTTTTTTATCTTATATAATAAAATAAATGATAAAATTTTACATTTTTTTAAAATTAATATCTGATATTTTACTTTGTTTTATACTATAATAACAATTTGAAGAATTTTTTTAATTAAAATAAAGAATAAATTTATTTTTCTTTTTTCCTAATTAAAAGAAATTAGGATAAGTCATAAAAATATTAAAACAAGTTAAAGAAAATATAAATATGTATAAGGTAGTGATTTTTTTTTTTTTTTTTTGAAGTCTCCAATTTTATACTTTAAGTATAGCTTGCAAAAGACAATTCATAAGAATAAACTAAATATTTTCTGCATTTTGTTCTATTTTGTCTCCCACAACTAAATAGAAACATGGACAAAAAATTATGCCTTGTACTCCAAAATGAACACAACAATGTCTCCTCTTATGTCTAGTCTTATATTATCTTATCTTGTATACAAAGACCTAATTAAAAATTAATAGTACATGGACATCTAGTGTCATTAAACCAATGCCTCTTAGTGGTTAATCCAGAATGGGTCCTTGGTTCCCAGGGTCCAGCTATTACTAGATAACAATTAGATAAAGACCGACTATGTTTGAAAAATTTGAGCATCAATTTCGAGTATAAAACTAGAAAAAGAAAATTACCCAACTAAACAAGTATTTTTTTTTTTTAAAAATAGAATTGAAAAAAAGAAAAAGAAAATAAAAGAGGGAAAATAAAAATGACTTGAAACAACCCCTAATTATGCTTTTGCATTAAAAGTTTAATTTGTCAAAATAACATATCATTCTACAATCTTGGTTGATCTTTTTTTTCTTTCTATTTTTTTTTATGCATTACACGCATAATACGAAATGTCATTATGTTTTCTTTTTACAATAAAGTAATACTTATTAGATTAGAGCCCCTGTTCTGCAGAAGGACTTACATAATTATTTGTATAATCAAATGCATTGGTTGTTCACAAAATTACAAGTAGCAATCTATTTTATAGGCATTTGTGATAACATTGGTTTGGTTAGTGGTGTTGTATTTTTTCTAGTGAGTTAGACGCATTATTAGATAGTTGCATAATAATTGAAAATGAATAGATATATTTTGTTAAAAGGGTTTATTAGAAAATACAAACCAGCATAAAACATCAATTTTATTTTGAATTCGAGTTTTATATGGGAAGAGTTAAAATTAGAACCGATGGTTTTGTAGTACATCAACATTAATCTTAAAATCAAGGCAACTCTTGCATGGCCAAGAGAAAAAATCAGTTCCTTATCGGTGGTTGCTAGCCTGGTTTGGTACTTCAGGCTTGTTGTCAAAGATGTGAGGATCGTAGAGTCGATGCTTTGATATTGAATTATAAAACAGCTTGTATCTGACACAAAAAATTTTAAACTTGTTAAGAAAATGTAAAAGGAATTGTGGTACCAAATGTTGATCAGTGTAGCCTAGGTGTTGTAACATATGTTGGCAAGACTAACCAAAGTATAATTCAATTATATCTTGACCGAGCAACATTATGGTTTCAGTAATGTTATCTTGGATGTTGCAAGTTATTCGAAGCTTGGGGTTGTTATTTTTGTGGTGTGTTATGAAAAATATCTTGTAATTGTTATGAGAAAAAAAATATTAGTTTAAAATATTTAGAAGCACTTACCTTGGTATTAAATCGTAAAACAATCCATCAGAGCAGCACAAGTGTAGTTATTTACAGTTTGCCTAGGCGGGGGCATAGTAGACATGCTGGATACCATCATCCTTTTGTAATGTCTGTGTTATCACAATTTGAATGGTGAAATAAATTCTATGTAGAATGGAAAATTTTATGTTGAGATGTGCGGTATACTAAGAGAAAAAAAGGATATTTTTTAATAATTTATTTGTAGTTTGAGAAAGAAATATGTGAACCTTTTGATTATGAATCGACAACTTTAGCAAGTGCTTGATCGTGCTTTAATTTTGATTTCTCAACTATTCGATATCCATGATCTAAATCTCTACGTTTTTTTAGACAGTAAATTGAATGGCTAAAAGGGGTTAAGGGAGGAAAATAAAAATGGCAAATCATTATAAAGGGAAAAAAGAGGTTGACAAACAGTAAGAAAAAAAGGCAGCAAAAAAGGGAAAAGCTTATTGTTTTTTCTTATACTAATTTGTGATGAAATGCGTTTGTTTAATCAATCTATTTTTAAACCAAGGAAAGGATTGGGAAAGAAAAAAGTTAAGTTTTATTATAAAAATTACATGACGTTAAGCGTACGGACACGCTCATGCACACACACATGTATATATAAAGTTGTATTGATCAACTATATAAAAAAAATCATTTCTATTAGTTTTTTCTACTTTTTCAAAAGTAAGTTGTTAAATCAAATTATTTGTCTTTGAAGTATATATTGGTTCACTCGGGTATCGACTTTTTTTCTTTTTAATGAATTTATAATAGATTGAAATGCTTTTACATATAATTACTTTAATTGAATGAAAAATACATAAAAGAAGCATATTGGTTACTCTAATCCTTATCAAAGAATAATTTTGTTTTGCATGATTCGTATCTATGATAGCAATTATCTCTTTAGATTCATGTACTTCAAAGAGTCTATGATAAGATCACTTTACCCTTAATACAAAACATTTCAAAGGTTATTCATGAAACCTAATTTTATCTTCAAACCAATTAATGATGGAAGCAATCCCTTATATAAAAACATATTCGAGTTACCGATGAAACCAAATTTCATCTTTAAACCAATTCAAGATAATCTCAAGCGGCCTAAACATCAACCACTAGGTTCGTTTATCACCTCCATAAGAAGGCTATAAAATATTTAGTCTTGTGTGTCTTTTATCTTTAGCATATTATTTATGTTTTGTGTTTTTGTTCTCTTCATTGTATGCTAGAGAAACATAAATCATCTTGTCAAAAATGCACTTTTCTTGGCATTTATTACACTAGAGTAAGGGAAAGGATGGACATAAAAGAGAGTTTAACTAGAGCAAAACTATAAGAAGGAAATAGATGCAATGAAAGGATAGGTTGTTAGGCTTATTTCGTTACTAGAGAAAAGTCTATAAAATCATGCATATCTTTAAGTACATGTTCAAAGTGAAGTTAGTCATCTACCTCTTTAGAAGTGTTCACTCTCACACCACCACTTACCGCTCAAACTACTACTCCGGTATGAGCTTTTGACATGCCTCACCGAAATCCTATTGATGCTACTAATCAAGACAATCCTGTTACATCAAGGGACACATACAAGCCTACTCCCAAGTCTTTAGGCCTTCGTTTTATGTTGCTTCATACTATATAAATAACAATGGTTCCCACTTGATAATTTAACTACCATAGAGATGGAAAAGGAAAAGATGGCCTTAAAACTTAAAAATAAGAAGCTCACGATCATTAAATAATTATTAAAGGATATAGAAGGCACAAATGTGTATGACCCTCTTCTTAGAGTTGACAAATTCTTGATGCCTAACATGGTGATCCCTTGGAGATTTAAAGTGCCTAAAGTTTTCAAGCACACTAGGAGCCAATATCCTAAGACTCATCCGAGGATTTATTTGAATAAGATGGTTGAGGTAGCGTATGATAAAAAAAAATGCTAATCTACTTCTTTCATGAGAGCTTAGATAGATCCGTCCTTAGTTGGTTCATTGACTTAGATCAAACCAAGATTAAGAGATGTAAATATTTGGTGGTGGTATTCATGAGGAAATACAAGTTTAACTTAGAGGTGATGCTTGGCGGATCAAGCCTACAATCTATAGAAAAGACTCGAAAGAATCTGTGAAGGAGTATGCTCAAAGATGACAAGAAATAACTTCTCATATTTATCCGCCTTTTCTTAAAAAAGAGTTGGTTACTTTTTTCATCAACACCTTCAAAACTCCATATTATAACTACCTGCTAAGTGACACCCCTACCTAAAGGAGACTAAGAGTGTTATCGACGACCTCACATCCGTAGGATGCAAGACTAAGCCCATGTCCTCTACCTCGTGTAATGCACAATGAAATTATTTAGGTTTAAAGTTTAAGGTCGCCTTTAGTTTAGCATGTTATGAATCATCAATTTTCAAAACAAATAAAACCATTTCATTAACCTTTCAAACTTGTTTATATATTAACATATCCATGAGTTTGTCATTATTTAGTCTTTAAACTCTAAACCTATACTTATAGTACACACTTTGGCAAAACTCGACTTGCTTCTAGCGAGCATCCTTAACATCACAACATATCTTTATGTATCTTTTTCCTTACATACACACCACAAGATAAACTATGAGTTAATGCTCATTAAGTGTACTCATACATAAATGCAAGAAAATACATTTTTTTTTATGATAATGAAATTCATTTTTTCACTTTCGGATGCACCTTGCTAAATATCTATATATTCAGCCCTCAATGAAAATCTTCCTTTATGAAAAACCATAAAAGCACTAGACATATTCCATCATAATTCTCATAAAAAAGGTGGTCAATCCTTTTTGTGAGCCTATCTTTGAACATGTCTGGTCATTCTTGAAGGATCATGCATCATAATTCTCATAAAAAGGGTGGTCATTCTTGAAAGATCATGTCGTTGAATCAACTAATCATACATAAATAATTAAAGTGAGTGTTTACCTTTTGTATTGTAAAAACTAGTTATATGGAAAGATACCATCCAAGGGTCTAGCCTTTATTGTTTATCCATGCGACTTAAATACCCACATAAGAAGCATTAAAAAGCTGTTAAGTGCTAGCTACACCTTTTTTTGATATGTTTATTTTTTTAGAAATCAATTCATGGTTTTTTAATGCAGCGAACCACTAGAGTGAGAGAGAGAGGTGGCTAGTTAAGAGGAAGAAAACTCTTTTCTTTATTTTTTTCTTAATTTGCCATGTATTGTTACTCTCTCTTGCTTGTTGCTACCTCTCTCATCCCTTTTATATATAAGAGGCAACAACTTCTCCTTGTAGGTTAAGGAGATGTTGCCTATGTAGGCTTTATCTAACCTTATCCTTGTAAATCCTAAATCTTATCTAAGAGGGCTCGAGTTTATCCTTTCACCAAAATATCTTGCGAGCTTTTAAATTAAGTCTATTGGTCCAAAATCTTTTAGCCCAATTAATTACCAATTAATTTAGACAATCCAAATAAATTAGGTAAGATATTTTTTAGGAGGTCCACATTAGGGAAAAATTCTCAAACTACCCTTAAACCTAAATTAGGAAATTGATTTCCTTATTAAGTAATTGTCTTCTAAATTTGGAATTGACTTTCACATTAAAAAACTAATTTCTAAAATAGAAAATTTTCCATTTTAGAAACTTTTTTTTCAAAATAGAAAACTTTTCAAAAAATGAAACATTTCCAAAATAGGAAACTTTCCATTTTAGGAAACTTTTTTCAAAATAGAAAACTTTCAAAATGAAAAACCCGTTCCAAAATCTTTGATTTTTATTTTATTTTATTTTGTGAATGTTTAAACTTACGCGTATGACTTAATAGGCTCTTAGATATGTTGGCAATGTATCAAGAATAAAAGACACATTCTTTATCTTTTTATATATAAATCAAGATTAAATTCTAACAAGGCATCATGATTACCTAATTCTCTAAAAGGATTAATTAATCCACAATTACCTTTTATAAACATAGTTATCATACAATTCAATCTTTGTGTCAATTTATTAAAATGATTTATAATTTGTTTGATTATGATCACATAAGTTTTCTTCGATTCTCAAATGTCTTAATTGTAAAGTAAACCAACTATGCTTATTAGCATACTCTAACTCGTGACAATAGATTCCTTGAGCGGACATTTAACGAAGTGTAATGCGATAACTCATTTAGTATATAAGGAATTACATATCCTATCTCAATCATCCACCTATCTCCATTAGATTCCTAGTGTACCCGATGAATTGCCCACATGCAGACTCTTTATTAAGCCCATCAAAATGAGTGTCAAAGTACATAAATCCTTTAATGAGATAACCGTAATGACTTCAAGTAAAAGGACTAGTTGTACCAATCTCATATGAGATTCCCGTAGACTAAATCAAATAGGTTCTCTTGGTGAGTCACATCCAGGTGATATGTTCTCTAATATTAATTACCAAAGTGCTTGTTTTGCCATCACCATACCAATATGTGTGAGATCTCCTACTGCTATCTTATAGCATGAACATAGCATTTATAAGTCTTATCGCATATAGTCAATGTTCATTTTTAACAATGCTAATTCTATAAAATTATATAAATAACAAGAATTAATAGAAAGACTTCTTTTATTAATATAAAAATACAATGTTATAATACATCAACCCATCCAAACAAGGTTGGATCTTGGGCACCTATACTAATAATCTCCGATTTGCACTAGACCTAACCAGCTATATCTTTTATACCCAACGGTCAAACATGGGTATCATGTTTATACTATGACAAAAGCTTATT